GCCTACACTTGCCGATGAAGAGCTACAAGTTTTGTCCTATATTCGGCGCTTAGGACCATTGAGCAGTGAGGGATCTTTTTCGTGCCAGCACCTATTACGACACGGGACCTCAGTTTATACGGTCCCATCTGAAGGACCGCTCTCCACGTCCCACAGTGGGATTTAAACTAGCGACGTAAGGATCAACTCTTTACCATAGACCTAAACGAAGGTTAAGGTCCTTACTTCGAGACTCTAAATTAGACGCTTTAACCACTGCGCCACGCGGGCGACGTTTCGAGTTTTATATTTCAGCCTTCAGGGGCCCGTTTTGCAATAGAACTTACGACTAAAACTAAAAATTTTTAAGTTGGTAGTAAAAGTTTGCAAAATGAATGGCGGGGATTAATATTTTCATCATGAAAATATCTTTCTGCATTCCTTAAAAAGGATTAAAACCATTTTCAATTTAATGCAAATAAGAAAGTTGTAAGCAGAATGACGCAAAGTTCCTTCAAAACGGGCCCCAGATGCGTCATCTTTTCAATGATGACGTCATATCGACTAGTGCATAGCGATAAGGTTGATGATTTGATGTGTGATATATTTTTTGTCCAGATATATTCACTGTTTTCAGACATTTTTGCAAGTACCAAAGTTGTTTTTCAGTCTTGTCGATAAAATATTGATATATAGGTATTCCAGGAATAATATCAATAAAACTTTCTTTCGAGGTTTTTAAAGTTGAAACAGATGGTGAACTGAGATAATATTACCGGTATGTAAATTTTAGGAAACTTGAAAGATGATTTATTATAAATGAACTTGATTGAATTTTAAGAAAATATGAGTAGTTTTAATTGAATAGTTCCTATGTTATCAAATACTTCGTGTCAACCCCCCTCAAAGTTTAGTGTAAATTGCACTTTTTATGAAGTTCACTTTTGTCACAACTGGACGGAATTTTGGCTGTATGGTGTGCTTAAAACGTTAGCCTTTTTTTTGGGGGGGGGGGGTCCAATATACATCAGCAAAGTTAAGAAGAGGTTTAAAGGAAGGAAACATGTTACTAAGCTTTGTTTTCTATATTGCAAATAATGCACATGCATTGGAATAATTATTTGAGGACAAAGTCTCCCTGTGCTCTCCCTGCTCTTCTGTCAGACCTATAATATACGTACTACAAAAATCCGGACTTTTATCTATACTTGTAATTGACAAAATTTTGTGCTTTTAACGTCCCTTTGAGTAGCGCAATGGTTAGAGTCTGCTCTAAAGTCGCAGATCATTACGTCACGTATTCGAATTCCACTGTGGAACGTGGAGACCGATTCTTCGGATGAGGCCGTATAAACCGAGGCCCCGAGGTGCTGGCAAGAAAAAGCCCCTCACTGTTCAATGACCCTAAGTGCCGAGTATAGGTCAAAATGTGTAGCTCTCCGCCGGCAAGTGGTGACGTCTCCATATGAATGAAAAATTCTCGAGAGGAATTTTAGAATATGAAACAAAATAAAATCAATCTGACAATCAAAAACTTTTCACTGATATTGATTAGTCATTACTTGCCGCAAGTTTTCGTTGGAAAGCAGCAATTTTAGACCTGTTTTCTGCACTTAGTGCATTTGAGTACGCAGGGTTCCTTTCCGTGCCAGCACCTACTGCTACATGTCATGCCAGACCTGGATAATACAGCCCGATCCAAAGGTGCAGTCTCCACGTCCCACAGTGGGATTAGAACCCTCTTTTAAAGGATCAACTCTGTACTCCGCCGCTCTTGAGCAAACGCTTTTACCGGTACCATTGTGACGAGATGAATTTTTACAAATATGGAGACGCCACCACTTGCGGATGGAGAGCTGCAAATTTTGTCCTATGCTCGACAATTCTAGTCATTGAGCAGTAAGGGTTTTTTTCGTGCCAGCACTCGCACCTACTGCGACATAAGGCCTCTTTTTATACAGTTTTATCCAAATAACCGATTTTAACGTTCCACAGTGGGGTTCGAACCCACGACGTAAAGATCAACTCCGTACTTCGCAACTTTAGAGTCTTTGGGCGACTGACTGTCCCTTGAGAAAGAGAAAAATGAAGACTTGCAAATCGATAACTAATGACTACCCTTGTAAATCTTTAGCTCAAAACAAATCTCAAAAGGATTGTATTTGACTAATTCGTCCATAAACAAATGTTATTGCAATATCAGTAATGTCTTGATTCAAGCTCAGAATCAACGTCATTTCATTGAAGCATACATGTACGTCTGAAAAAAAATACCCCCAACAAAATACTACACATGTAGTTGCACATTCCCACATCGTTATTTAAGTTTCAACAATGATAAAATAATATTAACTTTTATGTCAGCAGTTTACTGCTTACAATTCTAGTAGACCGATACAAAACTTAAACAGAGAGGGTTTCTCTTCAACTATCAGGCTACTCTCGATTCTCAACAAGAAAGAAAAATAAAACCAGCGAGAAAGTAATTCTTATATGCAATGAAAAAATAACATAAAACATGAATTTTATAATAAAAATAGATTAATGTTTACGTGAGAGCTCGTCTTGAAATATGGACTACATTATAGAAGAAAAACTTCTTTTCGGTACAAAAGTGTCGGTGTTGTCTTCATTTGTATCATCAACATACTCTCTGGATTGGAAATCCTATTTTCGGGGTATAATTTCGGGTTAAGCTTTTTAGGTCACCTGAGTAACTCAGGTGACCTATTGCTATCCGTTTTCGTCCTGTGTCGTGCGTCGTGTGTTAACATTTGAACATTTTCAGCTTCTTCTGTGAAACCACTGAACCAATTTCAATCAAATTTGGTATACAGCATGGGTGAAGGGGAACAAAAATTATGAATTTCATGGTCCCCGCCCCCTGGGGCCTGAGGGGTTGGGCTAAAACCACTAAAATTATTGCAATCTTTAAAAATCTTCTTTACTCCTGGAATCAAGCAGGCAAAGTGATGGCATGAATGTAATGAGCATTGAGTCCTCTACCAAAATTATGAAATTCATGGCCCCAGGGTCAGGGGTTCTAGTGCTAGGGCGGGGCTATATAGATTATATAGTGAAAATGCATTAATGCTTTGAAATCTTTTCTTCTTCTGGGTATTAAATAAACTAAGCACATAGTTATAATAAGCAAGAGTACCTTTTCCAAAATTGTGAATACCCCGTGGGGATCCGGGTTAGAATAGGTCCTCAGTACCCCCTTGCTTGTCGTAAAATGCGACTAAAAGGGGCGGTCCTTCGGATGAGACCGTATAAACCGAGGCCCCGTGTCACAGCAAGTGTGGCACGATAAAGATCCCTCCATGCTTAAAGGCCGTAAATGCCGAGCATAGGCCTAAATTTGCAGCCCTACACCGGCAATGGTGACGTCTCCATATCAGTGAAATATTCTGGCGAGGGACGTTGAACAGTATACAATCAATCAGTCTCTGCTCCTGGGTATTAAATACACTTACTAAGTACATAGTTATGATGAAAAAGAGTGCCTCTTACAGAATTGTGAATTTTATGGCCCGAGGGTCAGGGGTTCTGGTGTTAGGGCGGGGCTCTATAGAATATATGGTGAAAATGCATTTATACTTTGAAATCTTCTTTTCTTCCTCTGAGTATTGAATAAACTAACTAAAAACATAGTTATGATGAGCAAGAGTGCCTTTTCCAAAATTGTGAATTTTATGGCCCCAGGGTCAGGGGTACTGGTTTTAGGGCGGGGCTCTATTGATTATATAGTGAAAATGCATTTATTCTTGAAAATCTTCTTCTCTGCTTCTGAGTATTAATTAAACTAAGCACATTGTTATCATAAGCAAGAGTGCTTTTTTCAAAATTGTGAATTTTATGGCCCCATGGTCAGGGGTTCTGGTGTTAGTGCGGGGCTCTTTTGATCATATAGTGAAAATGCATTAATTCTTTGAAAATCTTCCTCTCCGCTTCTTGTTACTTAGTATTTAATAAACTAAGTAAGCACATCGTTATGATGAGCAAGAGTGCATCTTCTAAAATTGTGAATTTTATGGCCCCAGGGTCAGGGGTTCTGGTGTTTGGGCAGGGCTCTATTGATTATCTAGTGAAAATGCACTATTCTTTGAAAATTTTCTTCTCTGCTTCTGGGTATTAAATAAACTAATTAAGTATATAGTTATGATGAGCAAGAGTGCCTTTGTGAATTTTATGGCCCCAGGGTCAGGAGTACTGGTGTTAGGGCGGGGCTCTATTGATTATATAGTGAAAATCCATTTATTCTTTTAAATTTTCTTCTCTGCTTCTGAGTAATAAATAAACTATGTCTGAAAGTAAATTAACGCTTTGAAATCTGCTCATTGGTATAAATCACCCATTTTACGATAAAACTTGCAAAACTTTGAAATATGTGGCCCCTGGGTCAGTGGTTCCTTTGGGTTGAGGTGCACAACTGGGTATGGGGTAAGTGCATTTTCTGTATGTTACATCTGTAAATTAGGTTTTTTTTTCTTTTCTTCACATAAACATGAACTGGAAATAATGTTGTAGGACACAGCCTCCCAGCCCCACCCCTATTCACCCTGATCTTTTTGATATGAATGATAATGCGAACTATTACAAAACACTGGACAGCTGCCTGTTCTAACATGACAATATTATTGTTTATTTGTTAAACCTCCCTTCGAGAACTTTCACTCATATTGAGACACCACCACTTGCCCATGGAGGGCTGCACATTTAGACCTATAGTCTACACTCATTGAGGGGTGAGGGTTCTCTTTCGTGCCAGGACCTACAGCAACACGGACACTTGGTTTATTCGGTCTCATCTGAAGGACCGGTATCCACGCCCCACGGTTGATTTTGAACCCTCGACGTAAGGATCAACTCCTTACTCCGCCGATCTAGAGTAAACGCATTTACCATTGCGCCATGTGGGCGACTTATGATGACATTATAGCCTAGAGGGCTGATGATAAATGGCTCCCCTCTTGTAGGTGTAGCACTCTTGAATCTTAATCTCAGAACAAACTTCCAAAAAAGATATATTAAATTTTAATAATTGATTCATTTACAAACAATTCTTGATTGAAATCCTAGAAACTTCATAATCCGAGCTCGGAATCCAGGCCTCTTTGTTGAAGCACGCGTCTGCAAATAATTTACAAAAAAGTTAGATGCCTTAAATATTCTATTGTTTTTCTATTTTAAAAATTGTTGCTATGGATTTTTTTCGTTACGAAAAAGTTATATAATGATAACAGTTTAAATGATAATAAAAGTTATAGTACCTTCTCTGTCACCGTCGGACTGCTCACAGTTCTAGCAGACAGATGTACTGCTGGAACAGAAATGGTTTCTACCAAAGATTCTTTATTCACAGTCGCAACTCTCTGCAAGAAACATAAAATGATAAAAATATATTCGAATTTGTTTTCAATAGAAACACACACAAACATGCAAATTTAATGTTCATTTTCAAGAAAAAAGACATCAATGTTTACCTGAGAATTTATCTTGAAATGGTCCACATTAAAGAAAAAAAGCCTTCTAGGCACAAAAGTGTCGTCTTCGTTTGTTTTATACTTTCTGGGTTTGGAATCCTATTTTTGAGGAAATAAGTTGGAGTTTAGAGTAAAGAAAGACAATGTGGGTATACCCTTCATTTATAAATAAAAAAGTTTCTAAATAAACATAAATCAACTTACTTCTAAATCTGTATCTGTTTCTGGTTGAATCTGCTCTGCGACCACTTTCGAGGAAACCTTTAAAAAAAAGAGTAAAATGAGTTGTATTTTTCTCTCAACAAGATATATAAATCATCACGAAATAATTCTTATTGTTAAAAATTTGAATGCAGAACTTACTCTTGTTGACTTTTGAATTTCTTTTTTCAGTTTTGACATTGCCAGCACAATCACACGGTGTACATATTCCTAGAGGGAGGAAAAGAGAACAAATTGTAAATATAGAGTTAAACTTTATTTTTTAATGGTTTGTCTTTTTGATTAAGAGTACTTACTTAATCCTGTCAATTTTTAAAATTGATTGTAGTCAAGAGAACAATTTAAAAAGGACATGGCTAAAAAGTTGACACCTACCCGAGAAGTTTCATTCAGTAGCTTCTCGTTTGCAGCCAGTATAATGTTTCCAATGTAATTCTGAAGTAAAGAATATCTTTATCAGTGTTTTGATCAATTATAAACATTGATTTAGAAGTGTGCATTGAAGCAGAAAAAAATTAGTATACCTTAATGAAATTTTCTGCCTTCTTTTTTTCAAGGGTCTGTAAATAAAAAAAAATAAATTTCCCTAATATATAAGGAGACATGACATCAAATTCTCATGAATAATATTTCTACATTTAATGTTGATGAATTATTGATAAATTTGTAATCACTCGTTACCATTAACTCTGCATGCACATCAGCCATCATTTCCCGTTTTCGGACCATGTCCTCCTGTACTTTGTTGGTTACACATGTTTTTCTGGATATCATGTCCTATAAGTAAAGGAAATTTATTATTATCAATAAAAAAGGTATTGAAATATCGTTCCTACAACCACAACGCTTAATAAATAAATATAAAGAATAACTTACAATTAATTCGCCATGAACTTGTTTCATAATGCATTTTATGTTGCGTGCCCTTTCAGCTTCCTCTAGCTCCATAGCCTAAAACACACACACACACTCATTAAGAAAAAGAAAGTTTATAAAAATGTCATATTTTGTATAAACAAAATATTTTATGAAAAGTGTTCTAAACAATGGCAATATTAAGTAAAAAAAAAAGTACCTGCTGTTGCTCCTGTCGCTCAACCTCATCAATCCAGTTATACGAAAATTTCAATAGCTGCAGCTTTGTCTCCTAAAGGAGTTAAGAAAACAAAATAAGATAATAATAAAATAAGATAAGACTCACGTTCAATTAATTGATCATAGTATAGCATAATTTATGAATTTCTCATATATTTATAGCTAAACTTACACCGGTGTCACTGAAATCCAACACTTTTCTCGTAATCCATCATCGCTATGTCAACTTGAAAAAATATGTCCGTCTTCTTTAGCCTAACTACTTTGTTTATGGAGATAATTGTGACGTTTTCAAGACTTCTTCGGAGGAAATACGTCACTGTAACTGTTACGTCACAAAGACAATTGGAAAAAAAACAGTTATAACGAATGACAGTAGGCCTACACAAGATTCTCATTTTCACCTGTGTGCCAGTGTGTTTTAAAAAGTTTTTTTTTTTAAATTTTTTTTGTGTCCTTGTCTTGTTTAAAGAAAGTTGGAAAACTTGATTGAAATGCAATGAATAGTTGTAAATTTAAAAATGGTGAGTATTTCGATTAGGTTATATTTTATGTTTTGAAAGTTGCATCTCGGCGAAAATTTCTTGTAATCATTAGGACAAGCACACTGTTAATTTTCATGCCATTTACCTCTAAAGTCCTTTGGGTTATAGAATTCATATTTAGAATTGTATGATTTTAGTCAATTGTAGTTCTATATAGAGAGAAGGAATTTCTTTTTTTCTTTTGTTATCTTCTTTTAGGTCTAAAGTATTCATTTGGGACTCGTTTACATGTAGTATGAATGTTTGATAAACTTTACTTGAATTGTCGCATTCAATGAAAGGGAACTTTTTTGTAGGTGCGCATGATGCAACTTCCTGGATGGTGTGGAGTCTGTCAACATATGAAAGCCACGTGTATTTAGTGTAAGTTGTCTTTATTTTCTCTTTCATCTATTTTTGGCGAGAATGTACGTAGTGAATGAATTAATTTAATTCAGGCTTTACAATCAAATGTAGTAAAATGAGAAAACTTACCACATGGAGTTTAAATACAAATATACAATACATTGTTTAATAAGTGGGGGGGGGGGGGGGCTTGTATCAGTTAGCGCGAAAGCGACATAGACTAGTAATCAACCTCGGCAACCTCGGGTCGACGCATTGTTTTAAGGTACAGTAGTCAATACGGTACCCCATAGAAACTCTCTGAAAAGGCTAAGTCATTCTTCCAGGTACCTATAAATTATCCACTTTATCGACAAAAAGAACAGATTTGGTACATGTTTCTGGTTTCTCGGAGTTTCTTGTCCTTTACAAGGACCCCCGACTTGTTAAACAATGTATTGTATATTTGTATTTAAACTCCATGTGGTAAGTTTTCTCATTTTACTACATTTGACTGTAAAGCCTAAATTAAATTAATTCATTCACTACGTACATTCTCGCCAAAAATAGATGAAAGAGAAAATAAAGACTAACTTACACTAAATACACGTGGCTTTCATATGTTGACAGACTCCACACCATCCAGGAAGTTGCATCATGCGCACCTACAAAAAAGTTCCCTTTCATTAAATGCGACAATTCAAGTAAAGTTTATCAAACATTCATACTACATGTAAACGAGTCCCAAATGAATACTTTAGACCCAAAAGAAGATGACAAAAGAAAAAAAGAAAAGAAATTCCTTCTCTCTATATAGAACTACAATTGACTGAAATCATACAGTCTTAAATATGAATTCCATAACCCAATGGACTTTGGCGGAAAATGGCATGAAAATTAACAGTGTGCTTGTCCTAATGATTACAAGAAATTTTCGCCGAGATGCAACTTTCAAAACATAAAATATAACCTAATCGAAATAATCGTTTGTATCAACGATCTTTCTGGGTTTGGAATCCTAATTTTGAGGAAATAAGTTCCAGTTTAGATTAAAGAAAGACAATGTGGGTATACGCTTCATTTATAAATAAAAAAGTCTCTAACTTTACATAAATCAACTTACTTCTAAATTTGTATCTGTTTCTGGCTGAATTTGCTCTGCGACCACTTTCGAGGAAACCTATAAAAAAAGGGAGTAAAATGAGATGTTTTTTTTCTCTCAACAAGATATATGTCATCACGAAATAATTCTTATTGTTGAAAATTCAAATGCAGAACTTACTCTTGTTGACTTTTGAATTTCTTTTTTCAGTTTTGATATTGCCAGCACAATCACACGGTGTACATATTCCTAGAGGAGGGAACAAATTGTAAATATAGAGTTAAACTTTATTTTTTAACGGTTTGTCTTTTTGATTAAGAGTACTTACTTAATCCTGTCAATTTTTAAAATTGATTGTAGTCAAGAGAACAATTTTGAAAAGACATAGTTAAAAAGTTGACACCTACCCGAGAAGTTTCATTCAGTAGCTTCTCGTTTGCAGCCAGTATAATGTTCCCAATGTAATTCTGAAGTAAAGAATATCTTTATCAGTGTTTTGATCAATTATAAACATTGATTTAGAAGTGTGCATTGAAGGAAAAAAAAAAAAAAAAAAATTAGTATACCTTAATGAAATTTTCTGCCTTCTTTTTTTCAAGGGTCTGTAAATAAATAAATATATAAAATTCCTTAATATATAAGGAGACGTGACATCAAATTCTCGTGAATAATATTTCTAGATTTAATGTTGATGAATTATTGATAAATTTGTAATCACTCGTTACCATTAACTCTGCATGCACAGCAGCCATCATTTCCCGTTTTCGGACCATGTCCTCATTTACGTTGTCGGTTACACGTGTTTTTCTGGATATCACGTCCTATAAATAAAGGAAAATTATAAAAATCAAGAAGAAAGGTATTAAAATATTGTTTCCTTCAAACTCTGTTTTGACTTTTTAAAATACTAGTAATTGATAACGGCCTCATTAGATTCGTCAATGTGTCGGCGGACCCAGCTTTAAGAGTTTGGAAACCCTAAAATTCATCCATAAAACAGAATAGAAAATTGCACTTTGCCAATAAAACACCATATTGCCAAGCTATCATTCCCGAGAAAAATGTTGGATCCACCACAACGCGTAATAGATAAAAGTAAAGAATAACTTACAATTAATTCGCCATGAACTTGTTTTATAATGCATTTTATGTTGCGTGTCCTTTCAGCTTCCTCTAGCTCCATAGCCTAAAACACACATACACACACATAAAAAAGAAAGTTTAAAAAAAAAAGTCATATTTTGTAAAAACAAAATATTTTATGAAAAGTGTTCTAAACAATGGCAATATTAAGTGAAAATATGTACCTGCTGTTGCTCCTGTCGCTCAACCTCATCAATCCAGTTATACGAAAATTTCAATATCTGCAGCTTTGTCTCCTACAGTAGTTAAGAAAACAAAACAGTTACTTTATGATGAAACTCACGTACAATTAATTGATCATAGTATAGGATAATTTATGAATTCTCATATATTTATAGCTAAACTTACACCGGTGTCACTGAAATCCAACACTTTCTCGTAATCCATCATCTATCATCGCTATGTCTACTTGAAAAATATGTCCGTCTTCTTTAGCCTAACTACTTTGTTTATGGAGATAATTGTGACGTTTTCAAGACTTCTTTGGAGGAAATGCGTCTCTGTAACAGTGACGTCACAAAGACATTTCATAAAAACAGTTATAACGAATGAAAGTACACAAGGATTTCATTTTCACCTGTTTGCCAGTGTGTTTTTTTAAAAAAAAATTTCAGTTGTTTTTTTTTTGTCCTTGTCTTGTTTAGAGAGAGATGGAAAACTTGATTGAAATGCAATGTATAGTTGTAAATCTAAAAATGGTGAGTATTTCGATTAGGTTATATTTTATGTTTTGAAAGTTGCATCTCGGCGGAAATTTCTTGTAATCATTAGGACAAGCACACTGTTAATTTTCATGCCATTTTCCGCCAAAGTCCATTGGGTTATAGAATTCATATTTAAGACTGTATGATTTTAGTCAATTGTAGTTCTATATAGAGAGAAGGAATTTCTTTTCTTTTTTTCTTTTGTCATCTTCTTTTAGGTCCAAATTATTAATTAAAATTAATTTGGGACTCGTTTACATGTAGTATGAATGTTTGATAAACTTTACTTGAATTGTCGCATTTAATGAAAGGGAACTTTTTTGTAGGTGCGCATGATGCAACTTCCTGGATGGTGTGGAGTCTGTCAACATATGAAATCCACGTGTATTTTAGGGTAAGTTAGTCTATATTTTCTCTTTCATCTATTTTTTGGCGAGAATGTACGTAGTGAATGAATTAATTTAATTTAGGCTTTACAGTCAAATGTAGTGAAATGAGAAAACTTACCACATGGAGTTTAAATACAAATATACAATACATTGTTTAACAAGTCGGGGGTCCTTGTAAAGGACAAGAAACTCCGAGAAACCAGAAACATGTAAATCTGTTCTTTTTGTCGATAAAATGGATAATTTATAGGTACCTGGAATAATGACTTAAACTTTTCAGAGAGTTTCTATGGGGTACCGTATTGACTACTGTACCTTAAAACAATGCGTCGACCCGAGGTTGCCGAGGTTGATTACTAGTCTATTTCGCTTTCGCGCTAACTGATATAATTAGGAAAACTAAAAGATAATTTGATGCGAACATTAACAATGACATTGATTCAATTTTAAGTCAAATATCAGTAGTCCCATTTGTTGTTCCAATTTTTGTAGAAGTTATAGGTGTTTAATGGATAAATGTAACAAAAGATACCCCCCCCCCCCTTCAAAGTTGTTGATGCCATAACTTGTCTCACCACTTTTTAGTGTAAATGACACGTCAAGTTTTATTGAGTTCACTACTGTCGAAACTAGACGGAATGGATTGGCGGCATGGTATGTTTTGAAAAAGAAGACTTTGGGGGGGGGGGGGGGGGGGGCTGGGTAGTATACACTAGCAAACTTCATTAGAGCTTTATAATGGGAAAACATCTGTTAATTAGTGTTTTTTCCCTTAATATAAACATGGACTGGAAAAATTATTGAAGGACACAGCCTCCCAGCCCCACCCCCATCCACCCTGATCTCTTTGATATGAATGATAATTAAATGCGAACTATTACAAAACACCGGACAGCTGCCTGTACTAAAATGACAATTGCTTCTTTGTTAAACATCCCTTCGAGAACTTTCACTCATATTGAGACACCACCACTTGCCCATGGAGGGTTGCACATTTAGACCTATAGTCAACACTCATTGAGGGGTGAGGATTCTCTTTTGTGCCAGAACCTAAAGCAACACGGACCTTTGATTTATTCGGTCTCATCTGAGTGACCGATATCCACGCCCCACAGTAGATTTTGAACCCTCGACGTTAGGATAAACTCCTTACACCGCCGATCTAGAGTAAATGCATTTACCATTGCGCCATGTGGGCGACTCATAATGACATTAAAGCTTAGAGGGCCAGTGGGAAAATCTAGACACATCGAAGAAAAAAAGACTCCCCTCTTGTTTGTGTAGCACTCTTGAATCTTAATCTCAGAACAAACTTCCAAAAGAGGTTTAGTAAATTTTAATTGATTAATTCATTTACAAACAATTCTTTATTGAAATCCAAGGAATCTCATGAGTCGAGCTCGGAATCCACACCTCTTTGTTGAAGCACGCGTCTGAAAATAATATACAAAAAAGTTAGATGCCTTAAATTTAGTACTGTTTTCTATTTTAAAAATTGTTGCTATGTATTTTTTTTTTTATTTTGATACGAAAAAGTTGTATAATTATAACAGTTTCAATGATAATTAAAGTTTTAGTACCTTCCCTGCCACCGATGGACTTCTCACAGTTCTAGCAGACAGATGCACTGCTGAGACGGAAATGATTTCTGCCAAAGATTCTTTATTGGCAGTCGCGACTCTCTACAAGAAACATAAAATGAGAAAAATAAATTCGAATTTGTTTTTAAGAGAAACACACACAAACATGCAAATTCGATGTTCACTTTAAAGAATAAAGACGTCAATGTTTACCATAGAATTTATCTTGAAATAGTCAACATTAAAGAGGAAAAGCCTTCTAGGAACAAAAGTGTCGTCTTCTTTTGTATCAACATTCTTTCTGGGTTTGGAATCCTAATTTTGAGGAAATAAGTTCCAGTTTAGATTAAAGAAAGACAATGTGGGTATACACTTCATTTATAAATTAAAAAGTCTCTAAATTTACATAAATCAACTTACTTCTAAATCTGTATCTGTTTCTGGCTGAATTTGCTCTGCGACCACTTTCGAGGAAACCTATAAAAAAAGGAGTGAAATGAGACATATAAAGATATGATGAGCAAGGGCCTTTCTGCCAGAATTGTGAATTTCAAGGCCCATGGGTCAGGAGTACCATAGAGGCGGGGTGGGGGGTGGGGGCTCTACTTATATATTGAAAATGAATTGTTTGAAATCTGCTCCTTCGTATTAATCAAACCTTTTTATAAGCAAGGGTGCCCTTTTCAAAATTGTGAAATGTGTGAACCTAGGTTCAGGGGTTCATGTGTGTAAGGGGCACTACTGATTATTGCTGAATATCACATTAGTTTAAATGCATTTTTGTTCCCCTACCCTGCCTATGAGTATGATGTAACCAAACTAAGGAATTGCTAAGTGTATAGTTATAATGAGTAATGGTGCTCCTTCAAAATTGTGAATGCCATGGCGTCTAGTTTAAAACATGATCCGAATTCAATCATTGGAAAGTTGTTGCAGGATGCTCAAATGACCTATAAGGTCTGTGGGTCTCTTGTATTGAGTTCGCTTCTGTCGAAACTAGACGGAATGGCTTAATGGCATGATGTGTTCAAACAAATCATACTTTTGGGGGGTACAGTATTAGCAATCATCATAAGAGCTTATTAAGGGGGTGAAAAATCTGTAAATTAGCCTTTTTTCTATTGCAAATTATGTATATGCACTGTGAAAATTATTGGAGGACACAGCCCCCCTGCCCTGTAGCATCCGCTAAAGATAAAAGCCGCTAAATGACAAAAATATCAGCGCTGCAATGCAACGCTTAGAGTCTTTTATTACATTTTTACCCGTGAAATACTATGATTTATTCATTGAATAAAAATGATATCCTGTCACAGTGTGAAAGGATATCAAAATGATATCCTGTCACAGTGTGACGAATATCAGAAGGGCGGGAAAACTCTCGATTTCCCTTCCCATAACGAAGATTGCTGTTAAAAAAAATCTTCCTTGACCTAATATAAGATAGATGGAAATAAATAAACCATTCTGACAGCGAATAAAACTGTCAAAATTACCAAAAATATGTTGCTAAATCCATGTTTACAGTGTTTTCACCTCACTTAGCTATGACGTCTCAACCGCTCAACTATGACGTCACGAGCCTATGACTGTATTACAAAAAGACAGAGGCATAGGAAAACTCAAAGAATTTTTTTTAAAAATGTAATAAACAGAAAATTCAATGTTTTGTAGTTGAATATGGAATTTATTTCACTCGTGAGACAGGATTTTTTGATATTTTCACTCGTGCTTCGCACTCGTGAAAATATCAAAAATCCTGTCCCACTCGTGAAATAAATTCCATATTCAACAACAAACCATTGAATATCCTCTATATATAATTGCATTAGTAGTTGATTTTCTCAACCGCTTAATGATATCATTTTTTCATTAAGCGACCATTTAGCATTAGCAGTTGAGAATGTCATCTACTAATGCAATAATTTACAGTAATACGCGTTGCACTGCAAGGCTTAATGATTCTTCTATCATTAAGCGACGTTTTATCATTAGTAGTTACTAACACCCCACCGCCACCCCCTGCAGATTCTTCTGCCTCAATATGCGAACTATTGCATAAAAAAGACCACCACTTGCCGGTGAGGGCAGCAAATTAAGACCTAAACTCAGGCTTTTGAGCAGTGAGCTTTCTTTTTCATGCCAGAACCTACTGCGACAGGGGACCTCAATCAGTTTTTATGGTCTCATTCGAAGGACCGTTCTTCACGTCCCGCAGTGAGAATTTAATCCAACTCGTGACGTAAGGATCAACTCCTTACTCCGTCTTTCTAGAGCAAACACTCTTACTATTGTACCACTCGTGCGACTATTTTTGTTTTCAAATGAAGCAGAATTTATTAATTTTTATAATCTTCTTCATAAGAAGAAGAAAACACTTACTATAGTCTTTAACGACCAATTATCAATTTACAATAATCACTTCCATTCACATATCGACTCGATACATCCCAGTGAAAATTCGATTTCTAGAAAAACACGTTAGTGGTAATCTAACAAAAAAAAATTAATGATAAACTTGATGACTAAGTTCCCTCTTTTTGTTGGAATATACCCTAACTACCTGCATATGGTGTTCCAGTTTATTTATATGCAAGAGTATGCTCTAAGTACGAACTTTTTTTTAAATGAGAAAAGCTATTGACAAACAAGTTGATAAAATAGGGATTTTAACTGTCTAATTTTGTTAGTTCTATGGAAAGTTGAACATTTTGTAAGATCTATGGTTGATACAATAACTTCGTCAGCAAATACGAGGGTTGTTCGAAAAGTTCGTGGACAACTGTCATATCTTTTTTATTTGACGTCATATGTTATCCAAATTTGGTAGAAATATTTTAACAATAAATCCAAATGATATGTATTAATTTAGACAAAATATTACGATTGATTAAAAACTTATCCAGATTTTAAAAATGCAAAAATAGGATCGCGGAGCAGGTCAAAATTTAGTCAGTTCCAGACAAAACAATAAATAATGTCTATAGTCAAATTCTCTGTAAAATGGAGAAAAAACGAAAAATTACCTAGAAATTCAAATTAAGAATTGTTACTTCGATACGTGTACCAAATTATGGTTTTATATTTTGCTTTGTTGAAAAGAAATCAACTTGAGAAGATAGGTAGTCCTTATTGAAAACGACAAAAACGGTGACGTTTTAGAACGTCACGGAGCAGCAGATACCGAAGCAATTTTGTGTTTTTCTCGGGAAAAATCCTGAATAAACTCTAAAAATGTTGAGGGAATCAAGAAAATATGTCACAAGAGGGTTGTGCATGTGTGTACAAACAGTACGGGCAGTATTTGAGTGACAGAGACTCTGTATCGGATGAGGATGATCTGTGAAGAAACAGTTTCACTGTAAACGTCTGAACAAAACTTAAAAATTTGAAACGTAAATGAAAGACTAGGGCGCTTCAGAGTTGCTTATCCTGTGAAAACAGAGTTACGTACTAAAAGAAATTTAAACCTTAACAAAGGAAATTATACAATGAGATCTATTCTTAAAATATAAATGTCAAGTATTAGA